GTATAGTCACTAACCGTTTTGACGCCTTGACACAGAGTCTGCAGTTGCTGGTACATGGTCCGAACATAGTTGTAGGACAGAAACTGCGTCTTCATATGCTTCTTCAATTTATCTCACAATGCAAACTTGGACTTCCCTAACCTAGATCTCGTTACTTTAGACTGCTACCACCACGCCCCTACTTGTCCACGAAATCTTATCGCAATAAGAGGCACACACTTATCAGCAGGAACCTCCTTAAATTCCAATATCTCCTCCACTGCAGTCACCTAATCCAAGAACTTCTCTGGACTTAATTCACCATGAAAGTCAGGAATATCAACCTTGAATCCTGATTCCCAATGCCTTTTTTCATCCTGACCAAACCTTCGTCGGACTGGCAGATCTATTGGATGCTCAGGTTGTACAAACGGATTCTCATCATCAGAATCCTCAACCGGTTGGACCACAGGCGTATGTCGTTGTGGCATGAGTGCAGCCATCTGCTGTGTCGCAACTCTACTTGTTGACGCAGTTATGCGATTTCATCACGTCTATGTACCTCTTCTACTGGGACTTCACGAGCTTCTGGACGTCTCCTTGGCGGCATGGTGAAGGAACGATTTCGTCTCTGATACCACCTGACGTAGCGGAAGATTTTAGAAAAGATGAAAAACNGGCTCTGATACCAACTGACGTAACGAAAGATTATGGGCAAGATGAACAACCTCACAAATATGAGAAAACTCGCTAGAAATTTTATTCAATTTCATAAATTGCGGCCTTAAAGGGCTTACAATGCTTTAAATAGTAAAACCCTAGCAAAATTCGGAAAATAAATAAAAAAAAGATATTTTTTCATAAATGAAAAAATTCGAGATAACAACTTAAATCGAAATTCCTAAAATTCAAGATCGTCCTCCAACAAACGGAATACGAATCCAGATTTTATTGAATGAGATATTGCCAAAATAAAAAATACCATAAACGGAAAAATGCTCAATCGAGAGCCTAAACGATGAAATTTGCCCAAAATTCGACGTACATCAGGGCCAAAGGTGCTCAGTTGTGATCATTGACCTGTTTCCAATCGAATTAGACTAGCAATTTGTCAAAAACGGACAAACCCAAAATTATCATGAAATCATTTTTTCCGTATGCGATCCCACATCATCATAAACTCTAACTACTTATGTACTTCATCAAATCTTGTTGTGATCATTGACCTGTTTCCAATCGAATTAGACTAGCAATTTGTCAAAAACGGACTAACCCAAAATTATCATGAAATCATTTTTTTGCCTTGCGATCCCACCTTATCATGAACTCTAAGTCCTTATACACTTCATCATGAGGGCTGCAGAATTGGCAACCAGTCTAATATCTGAAACTCTGTAACCGACATAATTGCTCGTGGGATTGAATTTGTTCATTGACAAAAAAAATAGGAAGTCCCTAGGATAATGGTTACCCTACCATTAACTACTTTATTTAAAAATTTTGTAGTAATAGAAATATATGTCCATGTTTTCGTAGGGTGGAATTTTACCTTTATTAGGACCCCCCACGCCAAGTATGGAAACATCAAAGGACTTAGACTCATTTGCAAAGAAGGGTTTGTCTGATAGTTACTTTGTGGAATTCCCAGTTTGCATTTCCAGTGTTTTACATTAAAAGACACTACAAGAAAATGCGGCTTTAGAAATGGATTATTTCGTCTCTAGTGGCTTGATTCCCGTTGCTAACAATGTTTACCGACGAAATCATTCCGTTGGTAATCGGATAGTGATACCCCCGTGGCTAATTTACCGACGGATTTCTTTGATCGTTGGTAAATTAGCGACAAAAAAATTTGTTGGTATTTTAACAAAGAATGTTGTCGTCGCTAATTACTGACGAATTTCTTTGTTGCTAATCTGTTGGTATTACCTATGCTTTTCCTAAATAATTTTAGCAACAAAAATTACAAATGACTTATTTGTTCCTAAATAGCTACTGATCTTCCATTTTTATTTGCGTCGTTATGAGCCAACAATTTTTCTACGGAACTATTCGTTTATCAATAAGAACGTATATTTCGGTGCTACATCTGTTTCAAATTTTTTACTCAAATTTTCAACAAGAATAAATTCAACGAAAATTTGGATTACAATTTTAAAAAAAATTCACTAAATATTTTTTATTTATTATATTTTTGTTCTGAATTAAACTTATTAAAAAAGATGAAATACGCCAATAAGTAAACGAATACGGAATTGCAAACATTTTCATTCCATAATGTCACCATTCAAAATACACATATTCGCATTCATTTTGCTTTCATTTCAAAAAACAATACTAACTTGTTGAAATTAGATCATATCCCTCGTGACACCGAATCCATAAAACATCTACACTTTCAATGGTAACTTTTTTTTAAGCAAAATAAACATTTACTATTTCCAACCATTGATGATCATTGCACTTGAAAGACTAATCTCGTAACCCATTCCTTTCTCCCAACATCTGAAGTATGGTTTGTTCGAACTCAATCTGCTTCCTCTCTTCTTCATGCCTGCCATCTTCCATCTTTCGAATTAATTCATTATTTCCCCTTGTAAGTTGATCTATCTTTTCGCAAGCACCACGAAATTCCTCTAGCAAAATGCTAAAATCAGCCTGTACTCCATCATATGGATGATGAAGACCAAGCCCATATAGGTGACCACTCTTACAAGGACCTTGACTTGCTTCACACTAAGCTTCAATGTCAATTTCAGGATGTGAGGAAGCATTTGAACCATATTTTCATTAATTGCATTGTCATACGTTTCCTGCAAAACAAATGCAAGTCTCAATCAATAACTATATACATTATATAAATAAAATTTAATTTATTTCTACTTACATAGACAATTCGTGACTTATTATCTACAAAGTCTCCTTCTCCCTTGTTTCGCCGATGTATACGTTCGAACAATTGTGATGCAGTAGGTGGCTTACCTAATTTCTCATGCTGAAGACAAACAATTAAATCAATATTTAGTTTAAAAAGATTATTGATTGGCTTACTCTTCCCAAATTGAAACATCATCTCATGCATACTAGTCAATTTAGCATGCAACATCTTATAAACCTGGGAGTAAACATGCCAAAACATATAAAACAGATAATCCAATCAAATACAAATTTTCTTGGACAATATGTTACATTGCAACATTCATAAGAATTTAGCAGTCAGATGCAATAAAGTTTGCACACAAATCACATGCTAGTCAGGCCATATCCTAGTCCCGGAAAATATCCTAGTTGCATCAAGGCTCCATGTCACAAAGTGCATCATGCAACACAATGGAAGTGCTAAAAGCAAGTGTACACAACTGAACAAATAATAGCAAGAAATGTTCTTAAACTAATTGGGGCATCTGTCTCGCTACTGAGCCTCAACATTCTTTTGTGAGTAAGTTTCTTCTAATCAGACAGAGTAGATTCAGACACAGACATCACCACAAGCAAATGGTTATAAATGGACAGAACAAAAGCTCTTCTAACAGATAGAACAAGATAACTCACGACATGTCAATCATTCATGAAATTGATTTCTAAAAATTAAACATTACCAGCCTCAACTTGTGGGCAGCAATTGTTATTGAACCAATAGTGTGCTTAATAATGGTTCCCAACTTTATAGTGAGTCGGTTATCACGGCCAGATTTAGACTTCTTCTTCCAACATTCATTGTTCCATTATTTCTCAATTATCTCATTCCAATGCTCTGCACTTAACCACGGTGGTCCATATCCCTTCCAATCAGTTATATTTTCAGACCCACTATTTTCCTTAGCATCCTTTCAAGCCAAACAAAAAATATTTCGCAACCGATCAATTGAGGCAGTATTCCATGCCCTCTCCACCTCGTTCTCCTCATTTTTTGGCCATGAGTATTGTTGCCAATGTAAGTACCAAACATTAGTATGAAACAACAAAGGTATAAGGACAATAACTTACTTAAAGAAATTTATTACCTGAAATCTTTCCCACGACAATTTTTTTATGTCAACTGGCACCAAACTATATGTAGGATAAGGTCCACCCAAATAAGATTTCAAATTGGCACTTACAGCACGTGATGCCCATGGAGTAATAAATCTGCAAGCAGGAAAATAGATGCACAGAACTTAAAGCAGATAGGAGGGAATTAGAGCTGATAGTGAGAAAATCAAAGAAATTAACAAGTTTACATTCTTCAAGATGTAACCTGCTGATTTTTTTAACGTGAACAACAACCATTAGCATTCCATTTTCCAATAACACCATTTTGCATTGAATACAAAACAGATAAAAAAAGTTCACAGAGATACCTATTGCCTCCCACAGTTAAAGGAGTTCTTCCAGATTCGTCTGGACGGCCATTAGTATTGTGGTTAGGACCCCTTCTCCTACCATCAGGTCCATCATTGTCCTCTGAAGAAAGAGATATATCAATACTCTCCGAACCAGTCTCGGTCAAGTCATTGTCCTCCTCATCTTGCAACATGGGAACTCTAGGCATGGAACTCCATCTTACTTGACTAGGCATCTTCAATTTCAGTTTTGAGAAAGAATGGTGAGAAAAAGCTGTAAATATTTGCCTTCAATAATGAGTGGGATTGTATTATACGAGGAAAAGAATGAGATATTTGGGGAAAAATGAGCGGGAAGGGATTGAAATTTTGGAAGATTTGGAAAGGAAAAGCTGAAATTTTGGAGGGATTTAGGAAGTGATTGGCGGCATGGGAGTGGGAAATTTTTGGACGAATTGGGAATTGATAATCTTTTGGGAGGGAAGTGATTGGCGAGGGGAGTAGGAAATTTCTGGAAGGGTTTCAATATTTTTGTATATAAAAATCTGAATATGAAATAATAAACTATAAATGGATTAATATAAAAATTTAATAAAACTTAAATCTGTAATTTTAAACCTTTTAAATTTAGTTGGTACAAGATAACAAATCAATTACCAATTGATTAATTTAGTTGCTTCAAGTTTATCCGCTTCTTAGGTTTGTAATTCTATTTTATTTTCTTATATGTGCTTTGAAATGATTCTATTTTACTTTTACACTCATCATTCATAAAAAAAACAAAGAAGCCTTTCTTGAGACCATTTGGGCTCAAAAATTAACAAATCAACTTTTCTTTTCTTTTATTTATTGAGTTTTCTTTAAAGAGAATTGTGCCAATAATCTTCTTGTTTTACTTTCCACCCGATATTATAAGAGGAAAGAGTTAGATACATATACTTTTTTTTGCCTTTTTTTTCCTAATTAATATTTGTTATTACTTTGCAAAAAAAAAAAATTCAAAATTTATTGTGTTTTTTTCCCCATATATATATTTAAAAGGAATAGCAGAAGCCTGGTTCAAGTATTGTTTTCATATTTAGTGTGGATTTTTATCCTTATACATGATTATAATGCAAGTATTGTGTTTTTTTACCCATATATGATTGTTGTATCAGAAACATAATATTTTCCTTTGTTTACAATTTTGATGGGGTACTTTCTTTGTGTTTTGGAGCTTAAATTCAGAATTCAAGAGTAACATTGATATCTTTTTGGCACAAAATGATAGAATGTTGACTGCTTAGTATTAAATGAGCAAAAAATAAAAAATGTGGTTGTTGTAGTATTTAGGACGTGTTCGGTAGAGATTAAAATCGGATTAAAATTGAAAAACTAACCGTTATTGTTGACTTTTATTAGACGAGTGAGACTTAATAACGACTATATTTACAATTTTAATTGAATTTTAAGCCCTACCATACATGCTCTTAATCTTATCCAACAAATACTGTGTACCAAACTTTAATGTTATTGCAGAAGATTTGTCAATTTCCTCCAATAGTTCACATAGAGGGCTTGATGTTAGTGTAAATCGATCATTCTTGATAAAGATATCCGTTGGACAAAGGAATTTTCTCTTAGATCTACTTTTTTGAGTAAGATTTTATCTATCATGCAAGATGTGAACATACGCTCTCTTGTAAGTATTATTTTCTTCATTACTGTAATACTCCATAAATCCACGTGATACAAAACAACCCCACAAGAGTGCATATAAGAATATTAGAAACCTTAGTCAAATTCTAATTTTGGGGGCCTAAATTATGAAATTCGCCTCAGGTCCCAAAATCACAGAATCGGTCTTGACTGGCTGAACCTTAAGCGTTAGTATTGAAGGGTTTCAAGATAAAAATTGTAATCGAAGAAGAGATCTATTTGCTGAATATCGAAGTTTGCTCATTGGACTATTTTAACTACAAATTGACTCAAACATTTCAGAAACTGACACTCCGAAAGTAATTTGTGTTGATGACAATCCCACTTTTTTTGTAAAATCTTCTTCTTCTTTCTGTACAGCATCAAGAGTAATATTGTAATAATAGCAATTGCAAGGTGGACAAGATTTTACAACCCTTTCATAAATAATCAAATTATGCGACAATGACGAATCACAGTCAAGCTTACTCGTCTCTCTCTCTCTCTCTAAAGAGATCCTACGGAGAGCCAATGCAAAGTTCTTCAAAATACTATATATGCATCTAAAGGTTACCGGTCCTTGAAATTAATGAATCCACCATATTTTCACATGTGCAGCATGTACGAGGATTGCACAGATATTGCACCACACAAAAAACTGTAAATGAGGAAACCTCCATCAGTTCTGAAGAACATCAGAAATTGAAGCTACATCGGTAAAAGTAAAGGGTTGATGATATAGAAAATGTGGTTAAAATATATTAATTTTTCCAGCAATGTAAGAAAGGGAAAAAAAAAATTAAGAAATTCTATATGCTTAGGCCACTCAATGCATAAATTCAAATCGAAAGGGGCGAAAATTAAACATCAATTCCTAGAAACTAATCCACAAAAACTCAGAGATTTCGTGCACACATTACCATCAACTATGAAATTGGAGAAATTGTTTTCCCACCTTTTACGTGGGTTTTCATTTTCCAATTTTAGTTTATTATTATTATTATTTTTTTTTTCTTTGTAATTGGGAAAAATTCTGGACACAATGCTAAAAAAAATTATCACTTTTACTGACAATTTCTATGCAAAACAAAATCGAACAAATGGTATTCGATATAGTAATTGTTTTTTTTCAATTTTTTTTACCAATTGGAACAAATTCTAGACCCAATAGTAGAAAAAATTATCACTTTAATGGACAATTTTCATAAAAAACGAAGTCAAACGGACACCAAACTTTAAACATTTTTCATGAGGAATTATATCAATCAAACACAATTAATTACAATTCTCAATAAAATATTTTCGTCTAAAATTTTAAATGACTAAAAATTGAATAAAGTTTGTGTTATAAATTAATAGAAATAATGTTATTCATCAATAATGGCGATAAATATGCAACGAATAGATGTATCTTGTAAACTAAGTTATTTTTAGCATTTTTACCATTATTAAATTCATGGATGAATTTTACTGGAAATTGAATATTTCATTTTGTTTATTGTTTTGTTAAGCTTTGAATTACAAATTAGTTAAGAAAAAATCGAATGAATATTGCATACAATAATATAAGCACCCAAATTTAATGTTCACTTTAGGTCTCGAAAACTCAAAGTCCAACCTTAATTAAATTTTTTGCCTACGTTGGACAATATTTATGGCTCGGCCTCTGCCACTAGTATTCTGAGACGAGCAACTTTTCCTCTGCTAATAAATACAAATGATGGAGAAAGATCATAATTTTATTAGTTAATTTAGATTTTAGCCAATTGTTATGAAACGGAGCATAAGGCTGGGGTGTAATAAGTACCAACGAAGAGATAACATCAACAAAGTAACTGCCAATCCTAAAAAATTTAGAGTTGGATATATGAATCTATTTTTGACCTTCCTGTTCGACTAACTCTACGTATAGTGAAAAAGGTCCGTCAAATTTTTTGTGCCATTGCATTAACCTTTTCAACCCTGCCTCTATTTCTTCTAACTTTCGCCACTAAGACTGCTTCTTTAGGTCTACCCAACCATGAGTGTGTTTGGTAGAGATTAAAATAGAATTAAAATTGAAAAACTAACCGTTATTGTTGACTTTTATTATACGAGTAGGATCCAATAACGACTATATTTTCAATTTTAATTGGATTTTAATTCCTCCCAAACACGCTGCATGTAAGTTGTCATTTTCTTAATTTGGCCTGAATAAGGTCCCAAGAACCCCAAAGGTTAAAAATTCGCAACTTCTGCGGCATCATTTATTAAAATAACTAAACCAATAACTTAGAATCCTTTGCAACCTACCTGCCAACCTGGCATGTTATTAAGCAAGGAATGGGGAAGAAAAGATGAAACAATGATAGTATTGATCATGAAGCCTAGATATGGCACTGTTATCCTCGTTTTCTACTTCCTTCACAGGAAAATGCAAAAATAGTGGTAGCGTGTATGGTCCTTTTGTAGGTAAACCAAGATGGATCTTGGTGTGAACTGTTTGACAACAAAAATGTAGTTTGTGTATCCAAAGTCAAACAGAAAACAACATTAGTCCAAAACAATCGATGTTAATGCCTTCAATTTTCAACAGCACATATTTATAGTTTCCTAAAAGAAGCCCAAGAGAGAAAAAAAATATGTTCACTCGCAAAGGTCTATTATATATAACTAAAACTTTAAGATTATAACATGATGTCCTCCAGCGTCGACGGAAAACCACAAATGATCAAACAGTTACAAGAATAAGAAGAAGCCCTGTTCACTACGATACAATACCACGAGTGTACAGGTCACGGTGAAATGGGCCGACGCTCTAAGTATCAAAGTGGGACTATTTTTCATGTCCATGCGGCAGCAGTCTCACTTTGTTCGAATACCTTCCGTCATTCTCCATCACGAGTTTAGACATAACCCATTATATATTTCACACACTACACATAGTAGCATGTAAATACTCGAACAAATCCATGTGCTGCACTTGGTGCCAAGGTACCTGTCCATTCGCAATGCATATCTCTAGCTTGATTGCATGGTTATGTACAACATATGGTCCTCTCTAAGAATACTCACAGGAAAGGAGCTCTCTTTGCTTCATCTGAAGCTTTGAGGTCATTTGCATGCCCCATAATGCAATCCTTTTGCTCGTCACTTTGTACGAGCATTTAGCTTAGTTCTTGCCATGCCCTTCATTGGTGCCTAGCCAAGTAGGGTCATCCTTTAATTCATGACTAATTAGAAGTGCCTTCACATCATAAACATTCCCACATATTGACATCTTGCCCTATTTGCTCAATTATATGACATTGCCCTATGACCATATTTCTAGTCAACGGATCCCCACGGCAAGACTAAGACCCATAGTCAATGCACACAAGTTAGCATACGAGGAGTTTAGAATGATTTCCTCAATAGCTTATTCGGTTTAGAGGTGTTACAGAATCCTTAGCATAGCCTTTGGAGGTATTCCTATGGCCTCTAATGATTGCGCATAAGGATAGGTCGTGGCTGGCTTCCTACTCGCCAGCATGGCCTCTTATCATGTACTTGACAAGAAATTCCTAGTGACACCAATAGACTTCCTTCGGTCGAGGAATAATAATTTTCATAATTGATGTTCTTACCTCCAAATGATGCTCCGTTTTATCCTTAGCGAAGCTAACATCTTCAATATCGAGTCCACAAAAGTTTTAACTCTAATAGATACA